CACAAATTGTGGAGCTATCTCCCTCCTCCAGTCTCTCAATTTTCATCATCCCTGTCCTGCCACAAACTCCTCATAGCAAACTATGAAAGGTCATCTCACTGAGATGATTAGAAAATACAACTCTGGCTGGACACAGTAGAAAAAGGCACCATCTCCACTGGTACTGCAGGTCTCTGCTAGGGTACAAATTTAGGTGATCAGGGGTGACTTTCTGCCCCATATTCACCCCTGGGACTAAAACATGCTCACACATACCCAACCTGAAAAATACTACATTGTAGATCATAAATGGGTAGACCCTGCTCTGCATTTTATGTTTAGAAATAATTTTCTTGAAATCTTTCAAAGAATTAAAAATAAATCATTGTAGTCTGTTGATGAGAATGTGGCTAAATGCTCCCCTGCATTGTTGGAGGAAAAGCAAAAAATCATATAATCCTCATGGGAGAATTTGCCAAATTCTAATGCAATTACAGATGCATTTACCTTTTGACACAACAATTCAAATTATAGGCATCTGTTGTAAAGATTTACTGGCAAAATTACAAAATGATATCCAAGGCTATACTTGAAGGCATCATTTAGCATAACGGTAAATTGAAAACAACCAAAACATCTATTAATAGTGGTTAAATAAGCCAGGGTTGGCAAACTTCTTCAAGAAAACCCCAAATAGTAAATATTTTATGCTTTGAGGGCATATGGTCTCTACCACAAACACTCATTTCTACCATCATAGCACAAAAGCAGCCATGGACAAAAAGGCAAATGAGCAGGCTGCGTTTCAGTAAAATTTTACTTGTGGAAACTAAAATGTGAGTTTTATAGAACTTTCAGTCACATAATAGTCTTCTTTTGATTTTTTTTCAGCCCTTTAAAAAAAAAAAAGCCTATTCTTAGCTTTAAGTCAAATACAGATGGCAGACTAGATCTGACCATCAGACTGTAGCTTTTCAGTCCCTAGAATAAACTATGGTATATCCTCACAATAAAGTCTGATATAGTTACATCAAGAAATAAAGAAGATATTATATACTGATATGGATCCACAATGTAATAAGTGAAAAAAAACAAGGGGCAAACAGTCTTGCATGTTATTGTTTCTATAAGAAATTGAAGTATGAGTATACATATACATCTGAGTATAATGTTAATTTTTTTTTTTTTAGATTTTATTTATTTTGCATGGAAGACTAGGGTGTAGACCAGTGGTACAGGTGGTGAGAGGATTCACCAGAGACAGAGTGGGGAGCAGAACAGGTGGATTTACTGAAATACACTGCTGAGGGGAGCCTTGGGTGAGACAAGAGAGGTCTGCTGTGCCATATGTAGGTCAGCTCCCTGGTAGGGAATAGAACTCAGACCATCAGGATGATAGCACTGAGACTTAACCCCTAGGCCACCAGGGAGGCTCCTAATGTTTATACTTTTAAAAAAATGATGAAAGATAAAACAATAACTAATGAAAGTAGTTGCCTATAAGAGAAGGAATGTAAAAGGGTGGGATGGTGGAAGCAGTATTTCTGTGAACTTGTAAAACTGTTTTGACTTTGGGATATAATTTTGACATAATTAAACAAAGGAAAATCACAAAGTGAAAAACTGATTTGGTTGTCAACACATGAAAAGGGAATATTTTATGAAGAATACAAATTCCCATCTTTTGAAATATCGAAAGACCTGGTTGGCATCACTGAGTCTATATTCCCACCTAGTAACCATATGGCGAAGCCAAATTTTAACAACATCTTTTACAGTAAGACATATATTCTTTGATTTGCTGCAAAATTCATCTACTTGGCTTCACCTTACCTTGCCTACTCGGCTTGCAGAGGCATTTAAGTTTGTAATTTCTGTCCTAGGAGAAGCAAATGCATTAAAATGTGATGCTTAGTATAGCAGTAACAGAAAAAGCATCAGTATTTTGAGCACAGGAATACAATGATAAAAGTAGTATTTTGAATACACTAACCTATCAGTATTATATGTAATGATTTGGAGTGGGGAAGAGCCTGATACCAAAGAGATTAATTCCAGATTTGATTATGCTAACACAGATAGGAGACATATTGGCCTGGAAGGGTGGTAACTCTAGGATGGAAAGAAAGTGAAAAAAAGAATACAAGTCACCAGGATATGAAATGAAAAAGAATGCAGAGTTACATTAGAACCAGAAAGGATCTGAGAGATCATCTAATCTCATGTCCCTATTTCATAGGAAACTGAAGTCTAGAGTGGTAAAGAACTGTATTTGAAATATTATATCTGGTTAATATCAGAATCACCAGCTTCACTTTCCAAGTATTATTATGTATTCTACTAAATTTTATTATTTTGAGGCACTAGAGAGGCAAAGACAAAACCAGTTAAAGAACTTTATAACTCTCATAACCAGCCACATAAGCACTAATTGCACCATGGTGCCCCCAGCATATAAAGCAGGTGCCATTCTGCATGGTTGCAAATTTGTGCCACTAGAGACTTGGAGAGAGAATTTTTCTTGGGGGAGAAGATAATAAATTTGATTTTTAAGCATGGTAGGTAAAATGAAGCATGAAATGGTGATTTTAGTAGGCAGTTGAAAATCTTCGCAAGTAGGCAGTTTTTATATTTTTGTTTATTGCTACTATAAATTAATGTCAATTTATTCAGGCTACTGGATCTGTTAAAAAAGAACATTGTCATTATACATTTGTCAGACCCCTTAGATTATACAAAACAGGGCCTCCCCGGTGGCGCAGCAGTTGAGTGCTGGGTTGCGAAACTGCCCGCAGCCTGTGCAGAGCCAGTTCGATCCCCGGCTGCTCCCCGGCCAGCGGAGGAGGGTCCCACATGGCGCGCAGACCTCTCCTGCCGCCCGCTGCTCCCCTCAGCAGCGTACTTCGGTCCTTCTGCCTGTTCTGCTCCCCTCTCTGGCTCTGGTGAATTCTCTCACCCTCCCACGCTTCTGACTGTACCCAGTGCTTGTATAAATAAATAAAAATAAATCTCAAAAAAAAAATTAAAAATTAAAAAATAAATTAAAAAAAAAGATTATACAAAACAAAAAGCGAATGCTAAGGTAAACCAAGGACTTCAGTTAATAATAATGGAGCAATATTGATTCATCGATTCTAACAAATATAACACTAATGTAATATGTTAATATAGGGAGAAGTGAGAGTAAAGAACACATGGGAACTCTGCAATTTCTGTTCAATTGTTCTATAAATATAAAGCTGCACAAAACAATAAATTTTACTATTATAAAAAATTATATTGGTGGAGAGAGCCACCAGTAACTTCTTGTGAGGCTGCAAAATCAAAATTGTCAATTTGTTCCTTGAATGGATGTTCACTGGAAAATATCATTTTATTTATTCGCTAACTTTTAAAATATTTTTATTGAGATAGCATATACAGATTACAACATATAATGTTTACAACATCTGTAAATGATTCAGAAATATAAGATCATACCTTTTTAGGTGTAGTTACTACACTACATCCACCATCAATACATGCATAGTCCTCCACCATGGTCCAATGTGCACCATTGGAAAATATAATTTCAGAAAAGGCAGAAATGAGTAAACACCAACTCAGATTTAGAGTAATATATTCACATCTGAAAAAAAATGAAAAAGTTTTAAAATCAATTTTTTAAATTATGGGAAAATAGTAGTTTAAAAAGGGAACTGCTTAAAAGTTTTTGGCTTCAGAAAAAGGAAAAAAGGGAATTGCTTGAACTTATGCATGTATTTTACAGCATTTTTTTCCTGCTAAAATTTGATCTGTTTGTTATTGGCCATATCAGGAAGAGTGGTGTTTTGTACCTGACAGAGGTCTTGCACCATAATGTGGATTGTGATAATCAATCACCAACTTTATGGCAAATGGCTGGAACAAGACTGTCAAAATGAATCACATCATCCCCAACCTATGTTTCGATCCCCTAGGAAATAAATATTTATTTCAAAAACTATACTGATTATGTGGTGTTCCAATTGGATCATTAGCTTCAGAGTAATAAAATCAATCCAGAGTTGGTTATATAATAATAATCACACCTCCATGATATAAAAACAGAAAAGGATTGACTTGGCATTCATGTTTGCTCTCCAAGGACATTCTAACAGTTATTTTTCTCCTTCTTTGTTATTGTGGTTTTGAAATAAGTTACAATAATGACCAGAAAATAAATGAGATTATATTAGACACTGACTTTTGTTCTACAGGTTTAGACCCTAGAGTGTTAGAGCATCAAGGAACTGACTTAATTATTCTATCCCAAAGGGTCTCAGTTGGGAAGCTTGCACCCACCCAAACCTCAAGATCCATTACTGTAATCCAAATTCTTTAAGAGCAAGAAACGGAGGTCCAAAAATGTGGCTGATAAAGAGTTTTCCAAACTATTTGGTGTTAGTTTCTGCACTTGAATACATTTCTCCTCTCCGATACAGCACCCCTTTTTTTTAAAGATCATGCTACCTAAGGTTAATTGATTCAATTCTGTGTACACTTGACCTATGTCAACAAAAAAAGCAAACTTTTTAAATTGGGTTGCTCTTTAGTCACATCTAGCTCTCAGATTCTATCAGTGAACTGTGTGTATGTAGATAATGAGGTGGCAGTGTTTACCTTTGATTCTTTTCCTCCTTGTTCCCTTAGCTATAAAGTAAACAAGGAAATGGAATATATTTGATCTAGCATGTCCATGGAAATTAGACTGTTCCAAAAATTGACTTCTAGGGTCATCCTGTATGCCACTGCGGGCACCAAAGGCTCTCATGAGGTTTTATGTTTTGTGGGTGGATTAACCTTCCAGTTTTTACCACCCAACCACAACTCCTCTAGGAGTAGGGATTATAGTTAACAAAATACACACACTGGCATAAATGCTCAGTCTTAAAGTTCTACTTGTTTCTAGACCATTCAGACTGTAAGTAGCTGTTGTGCCACCATTACTATTTCCTATGAGTGTAGATTTAGGTAATTGCATAATTGCCTTCTTTTTACAGCTAGCTTACCATTGGAGTAGAATGATAAGATCTCATCCTCATTTCTGTCTGGAAGAAAGATCTCACAGAACTTTAAGGAAGGCTGGTAAGTTAATCTTTCTTTTTTATTCCCTCTACTTTATCACATATATCCCTCATCATACAAGAGGGACTGCTTTCAATATAGTCTTCAATTGTGAGAAAAACAAACTGCCAGGAGTTGAATTGCTGTCCTATGGCCAACAGGCAATTCCTGGCTGGTGGCTCTAATGTCTTTGTGTTTCTCTTTGAATTGTGGAGATTAGTGGTCCCTGTGGGCTATCTTACCTTGTGGGAGGACCTTTGGGTACACATACCTTCCTGTTTATTCTCTGAGCCAAAGATTAAGTATAACAGGAATCCTTGAGAACATAGGTATGCCTCAAATACCATGTATTATAATCTTTGCATCATGAAACAGGAAATCCAGAATCCTAGTGAAAAAATAAAATTAGAGGTACAACCTTTGAATAGCTAGAAGCCGTTCTTCAAACAGGAGCCTGTTAATGATTAACACACCTGAGATCATTGTTTAAACCAAGGAGAGTAACTCTGCGTTAAGGTGTATACAATTAGAACTCTGATTTGCAAAAAATATTACTAATTCTATGTAGTCTACATTGTTTAATATACACAAAACATGCACACATACTTTAAGAGGAAAGAAGTCAAGAAAACATAACTTCAAGTACACTTATTTTTTAATTTTTCAAGATAATAACTACAACTATTAGGACAGGCTACTTGGGAACCTCAAAAACATGAATCACTTTCATAGTTAGCAGCATGGCCTTTCTTTGGGGAGCACTTTGTTTGAGGTAGAATGTGCCCCTGTTCTCACCAGGGCAAACAAAGGGAGCTGAATACAATGAATGAGAGCAAGCCTACCTGTGCTCTTTAGACAGACAGGGAAGGAGAACATTAGTCAGTACTACTGTACCACCTGCTACCCAGATGTCTTCAGTCTTTGCCTTATTTGTCTTCTCTTTCTAAACTTGAACTGTTGCCATAGATAGGCAAAAATGTGCCTCTAACCTTGTCACAACAATGGACAATTAAACTGAATTTTCAAGAACTGCCCAACTTTATTTCCTCTAGACTAGATTTTTATATTTGGGACCTGTCCTGTGTCCATCAGGCAATTCCTGGCTGGTGGCCCTACCTTCCCTAACTTCTAAAACTTGAAAATAAGGATAAATCTCAAAGTAAAATGCCTTTTAAACTGATCTCACACTCACTCATCCTTTCTTTTTAATCTCCTCTCCCAGCCTTTCTTCTGCTACTCATTTTACGGAAATGAGAAATAAGTGAGTAAATATGGAATATATACATTAAAAGCATTATATGTTCTTTGCTTTTATCATTTATTCATTTAACAAATATTCTTTGAATGCATCTATGTAGTAGCTAAATGCTGGGTATAGAGAGGGTAGTCAACAAAATAGACAAGGTCTTAATGAAGCTTATAACCTTGTGAGTTAGACATTAAATCAAATAAATGCTATGTGAAGAAATGAACAGAGGTAACTTATTTAGACTAGACAGTCAGAGAGGGCTTCTCTGAGGTAGTAATAATGCATGTGAACATCTGAAAAATAGTTGATGATGATTCCAGATATCCAGAGGAATTTTTGTCCTAAGTCTTCTAATATGAAAAGTATCTCTGAGCATATCTATATATCCACAAAATAAATGTAATGGAAAGGTGTGAACACTTATTTGTAAATAGAGGTCTATTGATTTTTCCAGGATTGAAAATGATTTCACCCAGTAAAGTTGCATTTTCTGATACTATGAAAAAGACCCCAGATAAAAATACTTCATTATTTATTATAAGTGGGGTTTACTAAATAAAGTGCTAAAGACAAAAGCTATAAAAAAGATATACTTTTCTTTATATTTCTAAAGAAAGAATTTAAAAATACCAAAATGAATGAGAGCAGGACTCTATTTTATAAACAGACAGACCCTGTTCTGATTACACCTTTGTGGTTATTTCAGCAATGTAAAGGAATAAAGATTATACAAACAGGAAGAAGGACTTTCCACATTGGACATATCCCCAATGAAATTACTAAATTAGCAAGATAATACATTTATAACTTGCTTTCTCATTATAAAATGCTTACCATCTAATCTGAATCCCAAAACAGATATTTAAAATAAGCATTATTGTTTATTATTATTATTATTATTATTATCATCATCATCATAATTATTCCACTTGAAAGAAGAATTTAGTTTAGGTGATAATACTCATAATGAATTAGTGAGATTCTGACACCAAAGCCTTAGGTCTTGCTGCTGTATCATACTGCTATGACTTATTATAATTTATCGAGTCCCTAAAGCTGTCCCAAGAGGAGTAACAGAAAATTCACACCATAAAATATCATTTAGACAATCATACTTTTTGCCATTTCACTTTATGGAGAGCAAGGGGTTATAACCTTATCTCATCCTAGTTTTCTTCAGCGATCCATTATAGGATTCCTCATTCAAAAGCAGAAGGGCAGAGACTTCTTAACTTTTAATATGGCTTTGAGACAGAGTGTGACTAGCACCTGTGGAAGCAAATCTAACTCAGGTGAGACCCATAGTCTCATAGACATATTTCTGCCATGAGTTTCTTCATAAAGAAAGATGTAAAAGAAAATGGATAGGAGTTGATGAATTAGGTGAGAACTTGAAAGTGTGCTAAGAATATCTACTCCCAGAAAAATATTTAGTGGAGAAGATTCTTCGTAAGCCTATTTGTTCTTTAAAGGAGACCTAAACTCCCACTGGAAAAAGGTGCGTGTGTGTCCCAATAATTTTAGCAATTACAGAAAATCAAGTTCCTACCCTCCAGTAAGATGATAATTATAAGAATAGCAGTGGGTGGTGAATGAACACTTTTACTAATTTTATCTTCATTATTTTGAAATAATGCTACTTTGGGCAACTTAAACATTCTTGAGTTATTTTTCATGTCAGAGTATTTGTGTAAAATAAAGCTAATTTCTAATCATTAAAAATATTACATTTTGTTTGACATTGTTTCTTGCACGTCCCTGCAATCATTCCTAAAGTGATACTTGGAAAATGACCACATCAGGACCAGCTCCATGACCCTGTTCTAGCCAAAGTAATTGCAAGGGAGGGATATCGCTCAGAAATTTTCTGGGGGACGTTTCAATAGAGATGATTGCTGACATCTAGTTTCCCTTTTCTTACCTTTAACTTGGCCAGGATACCTAAGATTGTCACAGTTCCTTTGTGACCAGGAGCACTGAGGTTGTGAGGATGAAGAGCAGAAATCTATGAGGATCATGGCAGTAATGTTACAGAGCAACCCCAATATGAAACGGGTTGCCTGACCGTGGATCCTCACCCACATGCTTAAAGGGGACTTATTAATGCTAAACTGCAGGCACACACAAAAGCTCAATAAAAGGTTTATTTGCAAGGGAAGGGGAAATAAGGGAATGAATAACTTAGTGAGAAAAAGAGGGAGATAAATTCATAAATGTGTCCTACATGTTCCCCTGACCTGGAATTCCAATGAGCTGCTGAGAACTGGGGAAAAGCTAAGTGCACCGTGGGGCCAATTTATATTGTATAAGCCACTCATTGTATGAGCCACCCAGCTCATATGGCTGTTTATATACCCAAACAAAAACACTTGGCTCCTTAACTCCACCCTCAGGTCCTCGAAACCCTCCCTTTGGTGATCATGGGATTTGTAGTTCCCAGTGTCCTGATGGAGTGGGGATGGAGTACACAAAGCCTGTATGGAGTTTGCTAAGGACATCCTTTCCCCGTAACAGAAAGACTGAAAAAACCTGGACCTTATGTGACATTGTTAATCACTTAAACTAACACACCAGCACTTGGCTACTCCCAGCATTTTTGTTATGTGAGAAAGCAAATCCTTATTTGTTTAAACTACTGTTCCTGAGATTAACTTTAATGTGCAGTTGAGAATTTTCAACTGATAATACTGTGTAGCTTTTAGCTAGTTACTTAAAAGATTTGAACCTAAGTTTCCTGTATTTAATATATACACAATACTACCCAAGAATTCTGATTGAAAAAGTACACTGACCCTACTATATTCAAAAACAAAGAGTTTTTTAAAATAATGTTGTACATATTTTAAGCTTTTGTTTTCAACTTCATAAATAAAATGATCATTCTAATGCCAGGGGGATATGAAACAACACATTTTAAACTTTGCTATTATTTGTTTACTGATTAAATGGTTTTATCATTTTAATGCAAAGCACTTTGTGTTTTCATAATTCTTCACAAATGTGGGTCCTAGTTAATACAATGGGAATATTTCACTGGATTTTAATGAAAAATTAAAAGGCACAATTTATATTCTTTCATTCAAATATTTACAGAATTGTTGATCTGTCACTGAAGAGTATCTATCTTAAGGGAACTAAGACATAATTTCAAAAGTTTTGTCAATCCATTCCTTACTCTGAGTCTAGCACAAGGAAAATAATTTTTCCAAAGATAACTCTGAAGAAAACATCTTTTTATTTTTCTTGTTGAAAATCATTAAAATCATAATGCTTTGCACTGACAAGGAACTATCTCCATGGGCAAAAGAATGGAATTAAAAGATTTTTTATAGCACTTCCTAAGTAGACTTACTTTCAGGGAATGAATATTATATTCATTTACAATAGGAGTCCGTGTTATTAAAACAAAGCTATTGTGCCTTCTCACATGTGATTATTTTGAGTTTTAAATGATAAAAGGGCCTTAGTACATTTGAAGATTACATTGCTGAGAAAATACATTTATTGTCAATCTTGGAAATTAAGATTTTTGAAAAGCAATTCTAGTGAGTAGAATCTGAGTATAATATATGGCTGAAAAGATTAAAAATAATAATGTGCTATTTAGGGCCTCCCTGGTGGTGCAAGGGTTTAGGATACAACCTATGAAACTATCTTCAGCCACTGCATCACGAGTTCAATTCCTAGCCAGGGAGCTACTCTCATGATACAGCAGACCTCTCCTGACTTGTCCGCTGCTACCCTCAATAGTATATTCCAGTCAATCTGCCTGTTCTGTTCCCCACTCTGTCTCTGGTGAATCACCCCCTACACCTCTGGCCTGTACCCCAGTTCTTGTATGCATAAATAAATAAATCTTAAAAAAATGTGCTATTTAGTGTGCTTCAATTTGTAAGATTTAGGTTAATATTTAAAAAACAGCAATCACACACACGTCTATCTGCTCTTAATATTTTAATAATTACAAATTAGCATGATTCAGGATATAGTTCTAAATTTGACTTAAATGGTAAAATAAATGTTCAGTTTAGTATACCATGTTCTTTTAACTTCCAATTTAAAATCTCTCAAGACAGATTAATAATACACGATAATTACTTTGAGTAATAAGTAAGTGAAAAAAGAGTTTATACAAGTTGGCATCTTGTTGATAGTTTTTTATGGATGGAATTTAGAGTAATCAAAATCTCACAAATTTTATGAGAAATTGAGAAAATCAGATAGAATTTGTGTCTTTCTGAGTTAGAAAATCCATGCGAATGTGTTCTTGTCTCTGTGTGGCAGATGATGGCAAAAAGAAAAATGGTGTTTTTCCCTGCCAGGATGATATTTCAAGTAGCTTAATCATCCTTCTTAGGGCATCCTTCAACCTCACAGAAACCATCTCTTCCTTAGTCTTCCCAGTAGCAAGAAAACAAAAGTGAAAGTTAAAATTTTCACATTTATCCAGCTAGCACCTGGAGACAAATCAGACAACTGAGCAGGTGGGGTGCTAATTATGAACCTCTTCTTGGCCCTCAGTAACACTGCCTGGTAATTTTAATACATTCTTAATGGGCAGCGCACTCTCCTGCACTCTGTAAAAATTATTTCCAACTTCTGCTCTTGTCAGATTCTTACTTGTACTCCTTATACCCTCAGGGCTATTGCATTCTCCTTTCAAAAACATAGTTTTTTAAAAAGCTACGATTGGAAAATGTATTCAATTCTTCTCTCTAGCCCCCTGTATCACTCTTCTTTCTGGTCTACAAAAATCAAGGAAATATTTCCTATTAATATTCAAGGTCAATCTCTCTACATATTTTGTGAATTGCATTCCTTTCTATAATTCCTGGAAATTCATAGGCTATTTGTTCTCAAGTTTTAATTGTTTTTGAATAGACAATATATACAAATAATTAAAAGGTCAAAAGTTACAGAAGAAAAATATGATGAAAGTCTGTTTTCATTCCTAATGCTAGTCACCAATCTTCTTGGGACAAGTCCTGTCAGAGAGAGTCAATGCATACATGAGTAAATAAATGTGAAAATATTCCTT